AAATCGTCTTCATTTCCAGCTCCACTAGCCTAACCAGACATATTAAATAAGAGGGCTTATTCTCGATATTAGATGCATTATTTCCATCGATTTCATTAGTCCAAAGAGCAACACAAAATTGAATCACATTGTCAGCCACGAGTTGCATTTGGATCTCTAATCTTTTTTGCTTCTCACGGTCAATGTGCCCATTTATTTCTGTGCCATATAAGTATCTCAGAAACCTCATTGTCTTTTGAAGGAATTTCACTTGCTTCAAAAATCGATCTGTCTTTTGAAGGATTTTGAGTCCTTTCCTCAAAAAAGGGTCAGACTTGACTAGATACCTCGGTGCATCATTTAGATTCTTGTCGAGGTAATCCATATATTCTAACAGATAGGAATCATCCAGCTCATAATTGAACCTTGAACTGGTTTTACCTTCAATGAATTTCAGAAAATGTGATGCTAGCCTTTCCACATTAAGGTTAGTTTTGCATCCATCAGCAAAAACTGATTGAATCATTTCCCCGACCAATTGGACCTTCTTTGCGATATTGACTAATGAATCAGGCAAAAGAACATGATGGTATTCGAGAAAAGTTCTCAAAAATCTTAGCTCCATTTCAAGTGTCTCAATCTTGACAACATTCAGATCACCTCCTCTCTTGATACTTCTTAGGTGATCTAACATATCCTCAATGTCATTCTGAGCCACCTCGTGCAGATAATTCCTGCAAGTTCACCAATCTCTTGGAATATTAGTAGTATAAAGAGCAGCATTTTTGTTCATGTCTTTCAATATCTACTGTGAGAAGCTACTTGTTGTGAAAGATTATGCAACACCTGTAAAAAACCTCCCTTCATGTTTGATTTGTAATACATATGAACTTAATTTCTTCCATATTTAGTGTATCAAAACTATTTGGCAGAATATGTCGGAACCCCGTTACCTAATGGAGGTGAGATCCACGCGCTGTCACGACAAAAACAATTACTAATACTACTTCCAGCTTGTTTGGATGGTCGTTACCTATTGTATCGTATCGTATTGTTACTTTAAATACGATGTTTGTTTTAGTTGTTACTTAAATTTTATTGTATCGTATCGTTAAATCCGTCGTTATGTAACGACGAAATGTGTCATTTTATGTAACGACCGATTTGGTGTGGTTGCATCGTTATCTTGTCTTTTCCTCTCATCTCACCCTTCACTATTATTAAATTATTTTATTTTATAATTTACCCTACCTTTTTATATAATAAATTTACCCCGTATCATAATTTATCTTTATAATATTACAAATTTATTCTTCATATTGGTAGTGCATGATATCATGAAACAATAGCAAATGATACAATCTATCCAAACATTGTATTCATCAAACGATACAGTACAATACAATACAATACGATACGATACATTATGAAACGATGTGTAACAACCATCCAAACAAGTTCTTAATAGTACTCCCTCCGTCCCAATTTATATGATGATGTTCGGATTTCGAGAGTCAAACAAGTTATTCTTTTATCGCAAAATTTTATTTTCTAAATATTTTGAATTATTAATTAATGTGACTTATAGTACTTTTTACGTAGTATTCACATATGTAACTTTTTTTTTCAAAAAAAAAAAACTTCAAGATTCTATGTCCAAATACACGGTTAAAATTAAGAAATTCAAATCTCGAAATGCACGAAAAGTGTCACATAAATTGGGGAGGCAATAGCTGTTACCATGTTAATTGTTAGGGGCGTACAAAGAAAACTGAAACCGCACCAAACCGATAATCTGAGTCAAATCGAAAAAAAAAACGATGTGGTTTGGTATTGGAAAATAAAATCCGACTATAATTGGTTTGATTTGGTTTTAACTAAAAAAAAGTCAACCGAAACCAAACCAACCCGATAGTACATTTATATAATTTTTAAAATATTTTATACATATAAATATTTATTGTTATAAATATTTCTTAAACTTTTTCACAATTTTATCTTTAAATTTATTATTTTAAGTTTAGACTTAACATTCTTGAATGGTAAATAAATTTTATAGCTGATAAATGTATTAACTCAAACAAAGTTCAAATCAATATTAATGTAAAAGATTCAATTCAGTACTAGGAATAACGAAAGTGTTGGATAATTATTTTAGTTTAACATTGGTTTATAATGAAAAAGCATAACTTAGTTTATCTTTTTCTTTAGTACTTGGTTATGTAATTAATATTAGTACTTATTAGCTATACTTATTTTAGCATGACCTATATAGTATTTTTAGATTATGTTAATTTTCATTATGGCTTATTAATTAGCAATATTTATTTTATGTAATTTTATTATTTTATCTTTGTTATTGAATATTTTAGTATAATGCTATGACTTATCTCATATTATTGTGTTAGTTTCTTGGAAAACGCATTATATAATTGTATTTTACTAGAAATATTTGGAGCACAAGTTACATATTTTATGCTATGAAGATTTTACCGGGGGAAAAATTGAAAATCCGAAAAAACCCGAGAAAAAGCGAGATTGAAAAACCCAACTTTGTTGGTTTAGTTTGTAACTTTAAAAACGCGACCATTGGTTTGGTTTGATAATTGAAAAATTCGAACTAACCCGGCCTATGCACAACCCTAGTAATTGCAAAATGTGATTAAAATATTTTCAGCCTTACAGTCAATAGAGCGTGAAGAGTACCTTTGTCTTCCTTGACTTTTCTCTTTTCTGTTTTGTATCTTCAATTTCTGGTCCATTCCTAAAACGAGCAAAAGAGATGATAAGTATTCTAACCAAAAAAAAAAAAAGTTAAAATAAATGTCGAAGATTTGATCATTATCGAAAAAGAAAAAAGGATCAAAATTTTCCAATATAATCTAACCAAAAATATGGTCCAAGGGTTTTCAGATACAACATATCAAGTGAGACTTAATAAAGTTTAATGTATATAATTATGATTTTGAAAGAAAAAAAAAAACTTGGGAAGTATGGCAGTAAATTATGGCTCAAACGAATTCACCTTTCTTTATAGCTGAAGAGATTAACAGTTGTGGATTATCTGAGAACTAGACTTTCAGATTGTAAATTAAACAAATTTAAAGATTTCGACAAGAAAGAAAAAAAAAAAAAAAAAAAAAAAAAAAAAAAGTGAAGCAAGCGTGAAGAGTAGTCTTGATCTTTTACCTATTTTGAATCACTAATTTCTGTTCCAATCCTAAAAAAGTAAAAGAAAAAAGAAAAAAAGAGTTGATAACCAGAAGCGGGCCTATGTTATAGAGAAAGGGGTCATTGTTTCGGCAAAAATTTCATGTATACAAGTATATGTCTTTAGGAAATAATAATCTATTACTAGTGACAGTGTGACACCCTATATACAAAACAGATTCTGATTTAACGAAAAAATGCACCCATACCCATGACCTTATATCTTGGGTCCGCCTCTATTGATAACTATATTTAAAATTCAAAGCAGGTTCACCAAAGAAAAGATAAAAGAGATGATTCGGGGCGTAATAATGAAAATTAGTCACAGAAACGATCAGATCAACAAAATAAATGATAAGGTTTTCGAATATAACGCATCAAGTGAGATTAATAAAAATTTATAGTAACATACCTGAAAAAGACCAAAGTTTGCAGTAGGAGAAAACTAGTAATAACAAGAAGAGATTAATATCAGTAGAAAGGTTGGAAGGGGGAAAGATTTATCTCTTTAGGGCCTCTTCAAAATTATGTTTAATATATATGGATTGGATCCAAATGTTACTAAAAGTTATTGGTTGCAGTTTTTAATGAATAACATGTGCTATCATGTTATTAGTGCAGATAGACAGATAATTGGCAGGTTAGAATTAGTTAATGAATAACATGGCTTAGTATGTTATTAATACAGAGAGACAGCTAATCTTCAGGTTATAATCCATTTCCTTTGGCCTTCTAAGTCAATGGTTGCATTAGTTAATATACAAGTAGTAGAGCTCACGAATTGCTTTTTCCAATGATTAATTTTTATTTTTATTTTAAAAAGGACATGAGCTGCTTTTCTTTTTCCTTTGGCCTTCAACCAAGATTTATTGTCCTGATTTTGAATTTAAAAAAAAAATGATTTTGGACACTACTTTGGGAACTAATTGTCCTGCATATGTGTTGAATCCACAAGACTTTAGGTCCTTAACAATTTGGTTATAATTTTCATTTTTTCTATTGTGTCCTGAACTACTCTGGCAGAAGTTCCAGTTCTATTTACTTATATGATATGTTTGTTTGCATTTATCTCAGAGGTTTGCTGAAGTTTGTTGGCACCAATGAGTAATATTGCTAGTCCCAAAAGTATTTGAGAATTCACATTCCAAGCATAATATGATGCTTTCCTTACGAATCAACTTGCTCAAGAACGCTAACAACCCAACCCCTCGATTTTAGTATTTGCATCCCAATTTATGTTTTGAGCCTTTGTACAAGTCAATATTACTTTTTGAGACTTGTTGGGATGGTTTGGGTTGGGACCCGAGGGGCTCGGGTGGGTTTCATCACATTGCAGCTGCAGTTTTCTGCTGTGAGCTGGTGCATCGCGATTGCAGAGCAGAACCACTTTACAGTATTTTTTTTCTTTCAACGAAATCACATCCTTGATGAGACAAGAGGGGTTGTTCTGATGGTAAGCAACCTCCACTTCCAACCAAGAGGTTGTGAGTTCGAGTCTCCCCAAGAGCAAGGTGGGAAGTTCTTGGAGGGAAGGATGTTGGGGGTCTATTTGGAAATAGCCTCTCTACCCCAGGGTAGGGGTAAGGTCTGCGTACACACTACCCTCCCCANCTGTGTACACAGTACCCTCCCCAGACCCCACTAAGTGGGATTATACTAGGTTGTTGTTGTTGTTGTTGAAATCACATCCTTGATGTCTGTCACATAGTACTGACACTCACCTAGCTTTACAATTGCCTATTTCAAGGTATGCAACCTCTTTAAGATTGACACTTCCTTGGGGATTAAATCTTCTATAACACACCGGTATATATGAAGAACAATCACAAGATAATTAAATCAAAGACAGATTTCTTCTAAATAATCATTTGGTATCAGGATATTAGGGCCTAAATCAAAGGCCTTGCGCCTATAAAAACCTTTCAAATCAGCTTGTATCATCTTGCAATTCACCTTGGTAGGCTCAGTCTTAGGCTCATTAGAAACATACAGATAAAAGAGGGTATGCGTCTTAATCGATCAATCAAAACAGACAAGCAATAATCAGTAGTAATGTTACAGTATAAGGAGATTCCGCTTGCTGCATTATACACCCCAGCATGAGAGCATGACTACAACAATTTGCTATGAAAGAACTCCATCCGTCCACTCTGTCTGTGCTTTTGCTTCAGTTTCCTAAGCAAGTGTATTCAACACATCCTCGTTAATTTGAGATTGAAATTAAGAGAAAGCAAACATCTAATATAGGGGGGAGGGAAAAAGAAAAAAGTGAAAACTATACCATGTTATTGTGACAAGCACGTGCTTGACTCACAGCTTCCGGATATTTCCAAGACGATCCTGTATTGAACATATTGTTTGCATCAACTTAATCTGTTTCAGATTTGGAATATCCGCAAAGCTAACGGGGATCTCCTTGAGATACTCGCACACTTTTATAACAAGTGTTTCAAGCTGGGGAAAAGATTCCTCTGAGGCTTCCCACCTTGAGATATGTAAGTAGTGTTGAATTTGACAAAATGTTTGTCCCACATCGGTGGGAAAACAAAAGTTGGGGGGATTTTACCCCTATAAAAGAAGGCTTAATGTTTAGGATTTAAACACACCTCTCAT